TGGATAACTGTCTTTTTAAATCAGCCCTAAAAAGTCTCAGGAAACGGGGTGCAAATGCCTGTAATCCCAGTGATTCAGGAAGTGGGGGCAGGAAGATCAAAAGTTGGAGGCCAGCCTCGCCAACTTAGTGAGGCCCTCAGCAATCTAGTAAGACTCTATCTCACAATAAAAAATAAGGGCTGGGGTTGTAGCTCGGTTGGTAGAACGCTTGCCTAACACATGTGAGGCACTGGATTTGATCCTCAGACCCACATAAATATAAAATAAATAAAAATATTATGTCATCTACCAGAAAAAAAAATAAAAAAATAAAAATGAGTGTTCCTGGTTTCAATCCCCAGTACCAAAAATAAAGATGAAAAGGAAACAGCCTGTCGTGCTGGCAAACCCCTGTGATTCCAGCAACCAAGGTAGGAGGACTGCAGGTTTGAGGCCAGCCTCTACAACTTAGTGAGACTCTGTCTCAAAATAAAAATGGCTGGGAATATAGCTCTTTGGGATTGCACCCGTGGGTTCAACTCCCAGATACCCCCCCCCCAAAAAAAAAAAAAAAACTAAAAAACCCAAAACCCTCGGGAAACAAGCCTGGGATACAGCCCAGTGGCGTAGTACTTGCCCAGCATGCAAGAAGCCTTAGGTTCATCCAGTATGGGGATGGGGTGGGGTGGGGGACTTTAGGACAGGTGTGGGCATGAACCAGTCATCTCACCACCCCAACCCAAAGGCAGGGGTGAAACTCTCAAAGCTGGCTGTGCTCCAGGGCCTCACGCCGCAGCCCGCCCATGGGTGCAGGACACTAGGGTCCCCACCCTTCAGTTTTCCCGAAACAGCTCAGCATGGCCTGCAGCTGTACAGAAACCTGCAATTCCGGCCAGGCCAACCAACAGGAGGACCAGCTTGAGCACTTGTGACAGGGATCAGATCAGTGACCCGTGAACTTGCTCTGACTGTCCTGTCCCACCTCTCCCGCAGCAGGGTTCCTGAGTGGCTAGTACAGCTGCCCGCCGAATCTGCCCACAGAACGAAATTCCTACTTCCAGATCCTTGAGTCTCGGAGAGGCCTGACTGCCCTCCCGGTGGGGGGAGGCACCTCCAGCTCAGGTCTCAAACCAGGCCTGAACAGCTGACCTTGCCTCTTGGCCCAGGGGGCTGCTGATGGCACCAGAGCTCCTGTGACTGGGTCATCTCTCGGTGCAACAAAGGAGTCCAAGGATGCTACACCAGAAGTTACACTTTATTTAACATTTAGAAGATTAACATAGTTACAAGGTCAATGTGGGCCTTCCAATGGAAGCACTTTATTTGGTTTAATTCCATTTCCAGGGAAAAACAGGCAATTTCAGACCTTAACAGTGGCAAGGGGCGTTTACAACACTGAAATGCCTCCAAGTGTAGAATAAGTGCACGCACGCGCGTGCACACACACACAGACGCACACGCGCACATACACACACACATATACACACGCACACACAAGAAGGTGTAAAGGTGCTTGACATCGGGTTAAAACATAATTGTGGATTTTTTTTTTTGTACTGAGATTGAACTCAGGGTGCTTTATCTGAGCTCTATCTCCATCCCTTTTTAATTTTAAGACAGGGTCTCCCTAAGTTGCAAAGGCTGGCTTCAAACTTGCAATCCTCCTGCCTCAGCCTCCTGATTCAGGTGGCGTGCCCCACCCTGCCTGGCTTGGGATCATTTTTTTCTTAATTTCTTTTTACTAGTTGTTCATTGACCTTTATTTTATTCATTTATTTATATGTGGTGCTGAGAATTGAACCCAGTGCCTCCCACATGCTAGAGAAGCGCTCTACCACTGAGCCACAACCCTGCCCTGGGCTTGGATCATTTTTAAAAATGACGGGTGGGGTGTTAAAGCACAGGAGGCGGAGCCAGTAAGAAACATGAAACCACAATTTCTGGAAAAATCCTTTCATTATCGTAACATTTTATGTTGTTGAACTTTCTGATGACAGATGTTGCGGAAAGGCATCAGTGGCCCCTGTGCTGTGTGGGTCACGCGGTGGCTGAGCCCGAGGCTGAGCAGGACAGACCCAGAGGAAGATCCCTGCATGTTTTCCCACGCCTCCCCCCCACCCCTCCTGCAAAGGAAAAACCTGGGTAAATGACAAGTTCCTCTCTTTCCCTTTGTCTTTAGGTCATTTTCAGAACAAGTTTGATAAAAACGATCCATTTTTACCTTACAACACTGTATTCTAGCAACGACGGGCAGCGGGTGCCAGGGAGGAGGGCGGAGCACCCACATCTCTCCTCCATGGGAGCTGCCCCAAGGTCTCAGGGATGCTTTCGCAGTAGGATTCCCAGAGTAGACGGTAGGACCTCAGCATCACAGAATCCCAAGCATGGAGGCAGCCCCGGGGGAACACATTGGGAAGTGCTCATTCTCCAGTCTTTGGGGACACGGGTGGTACAGACAGGTCACAGAGCGCAGGAGCACATCCTGTACTGGGTCTCGACATTAAAGGAACAAAGAACCGTCTGACACTTCACCCCCTACGTTGCAAGAAACGAATTTACCTGGACCGCAATGTGAAACGGCACGACGCACATGCATTACGGAGGCTCTAAAATCAGATTAAAAAAAATTAGCATCCTTGTGGAATGGTCAGTGGTCAGCCAGACTCGGCAAAGTCCAGGAGTCCCAGAGGTGCCGCCCGCCATGCGACGGCGGGGGTGGGGCTGCTGGGCGAAGGCTGGTCTGCAGCCGGGGCTGGGCCCTGACAGCGCTCATCTGTGGGCTTGGCTTTAGTCCCATTGGCAAAGCCACCCTCCTGCGCCCCCAGGCGTAGGCCGATCGGGCTGCCCACCCTGAGTGGAGGCCATGCTCCAGGTCCCCGGCCCTGGGCTCAGCCTCAGTTTTGAGGAACAGCGAGCCAGGGCTCCTGCTCCCCCTTCGCTTGCCCTGAGCCTGCTCCTCAGTCCGCTCCTTGCTGCGGTCTCCAGTCGCCAGGGGGCGGAGCTGCTGAGGCTGGTTCGCGGTCACCCCTGGTCTGCCCAGGGAGTCATCTCCTGGTTTCCACGGGACAAATCACCAGCAGACAGGCCTGACTCCGAGGACCTGTCCTTTCCATCCCTGTCCCTGTGGCTCTTGCTAGGCTCCCTGGTCACGAACACCAAGAACTGTAGTGCCCCAGGTGAGCCCCGGTGCCAACCACCCAGGACACTAGGGCGCGGCCCTCGCCCTCGGCGGGAGACGCGGCAGGACTTGTTCCGCACCAAGGAAGAGGAGAAGCTGTGCTGCTAAGGCCTGAGTGGCCACAGGTTAGGTGACCACAGTTTCCCCCCAGAGATCCGAAAGGGGAGGGAGGAAACAGGTCCAAGGGCAAGTGCAGTGGCTGCCAATGGCCGGCAGAGCTCATGGACAAGGGCAGAAGCGGCGGCCACAGGGTCCTCAAAGGACCACGAGAGGCACCAGGTCTTTGGTGATGAATGCACTCAAGTCCCACAGTGCTACTCTTGGGATTCATGGGAAGAAGAGGAAGTTTCACTTTGCAATAATGAGCTACCAAAAGGAGAGTCACCCGGGCACCAAGTGCCACACGTGGTCTGTAGTCATCATGGATAGGAAGATGACCAGGAGGGGTGGACCAGGATGCCCCTTATCTAAGGTGGACATGGGTAGGACGAGCTGGGGTTGGGCTTCCTAGCCTCTGCAGACAGGGCACCAAACTAAAGTGTGTGTGTGTGGCTGGAGTGGAGGACATCCAAGTCTGACCGGAGGGTCCAGGAATTGTGGGCAGGGTCCATGTGGAGCACGAGGTGCCAGCCCACAATCAGGAAGGCACCTCTGGGAGAGGAAGCATCTGCTAATGTAAGACACCAGGGGACGCGTGGGTGACACGTGGTGCTCAGCCCACCCTGCGACTGCCCTGTCCTCCTTGTCCAGATTCTGTTACTCGCCCCAGGAGACCCGTGGCGAAGTTTTCACAAAAAGGCACAGTGTGAAATGACGAGGAGGCCAGGGCACGCGGTGGGTGGACTGGGGCCCTGGACAGAGGGGAGGGGCAAGGTGGGCAGCGTGCTGCCACCTTCTGGCCTGGGCACGTGGGGACTGGGGGGATGAGGATGACCCCTGCTGTGCGGTTGGGGACACCTGTCCCCTCCAGGCCACCAGCGTGGGCCTCAGGGCTGGCTGAGCCACAGTAGCATGCTGTAGGAAGGACAGGAGAGGCAGGCAGGGTGGCGGGGACAGGGCTGCAGGTGGGCGGGAGGGCGGCCCCCAGCAGGCCGGGCAGCGGGCAGCAGCGCGGGAGGCCTGTGGAGACAAGCGCCCGGCCACGGGGGGGCTCCTGGGAGGCTCGCCGCCGGTTGGTGCCGCGAATGCCACTTTAGGAATCTACAACACAAAAAGAGAAGAGAAAGCGCGTTAGAGAGGGTCGCGGGCAGAGGCGGGCACTTTGCAGTTCACTGCAAACTGCTCCGCCCTGGGCAGGGCGGGGCGGGGCTTTGGCAGCAATTGGTTATCAAGAGCGTCCTAGATAAGGAACTTTCACGGTTATCTCCCATCTTCAGCCAGTTTTACTTTGGGGTTAAGAGAAGCCCAAACCAGATCAATGCCGCCCTCCCCACCCGTCCTCCTCCAGGGGGCAGGGCCAGCCTTGGCTTCCAGGGGCCACTCCCCAGCCCCTGGATGGTGCCAGGAAGTGAGTCTATCAGATGGAAACTCTTGGTTCCTCAGTGAAAAGGAAACCTCGTCAATTAACAGTGAAAGTTCTTCATCACCAGGAGGCAGAGGAGACACAGAGAATGGGCTCGGGAGCCCTGAGGGACACACAAGGCAAGGAGCAGGGCAGATGGCACTGGAGGAGGAGGAGGAGGCAGAATTTTTATAAAGCATTTGGCTAGAAAATTTCCCATTGCTAACAATGAAAGAGTTAAATACTCATTACACAGAATAATTTTCTTGGAAAAAGAGAAAAATCACTTAAAATACACAACACTGAGAAAATATAACGTTTATTAGAGAGGCAGATATGAGGGGTACAACTAGAAGATGCCAGACAGATTCTTTTCTTTTAGGGTAAGAGAAAGAAACAATCATGTTGGCCGTGTTCAATGCAACTTACTCAGAACCCAAGAGTCTATAAAAACTCAAGTGCGGAGCAGCCAGCTGGGGACCCAGCTGGGGCAAGAGTCCTGGGCCTCCCCAGAAGTTATAAAAACAAAAGGTCATTAGGCAGCAGAATAACCGATAAAACAAACAGATAAAAGAGTAAGACATTAAAACAACTAATTCAAGTCATCCTTTTTAGTTTTTAAATTGCAGTATATACAAATAAATTCCTAGGTGGGGAGAATTATGGACATGTTTAACAGAAAGCAATTCTAAAAACACAAAATGCAACCACATAAGGAAATCCCAATCCAGTTGACCAATTTACTCTAGTCTAAATATTTTGGCAATTATTAAATAAGCACATTGTGGACACCACACACACACATACACACATACACACACACAGAGAGAGAGAAAAGTGCACTGGTATTATTAAAAAGAAAACAACTGCTTTGAGGTTTGGTATCAGAAAGCAGGGGCTGCCCCAAACCACGGGCTGGGGCAGGACGTGTCGACCAGCATTGTTAACCTCTAGGGGCCTCTTTCCAATAAAAGGAGAAGATCATAAACAGCTGAGATTTTGCTGCTTTTATTGAAATGGCACACTGATGGGAAGAAAACCTAAGGGTACTCGGGGTGGACACAAAAACTCTGACTCTTCGGCAATCGTTCCAATGTCTTCTAACATCACGCCCCGACAAAATGGAACCGAAACCACAATCCCCTTTTTGACTTCACCAGTGTGACCTAGGTTGATTTGCAATAAGTACTGAGGCTTACAACTTAGTGATGTAAATTTAGGCATTCAAACTGAACCCCCTTCCCACCCCCGCTTTGCCTTGCAAGCCAACTGAGTGATTTCCAAATCAAATTTGCACAACTCCAGGGTGGGGGTGGGGGGCGGCGAGTTCACTGAGTGGGATTTCAAGAGGCTAACACTGTCTGGCCCTACTTTATGCGTTTTCAGTGTTCCTTGCTTTTGCTAGCAGCTCCTGGTCTGGACACAAGCTCAGCATGGGATGGAGGGGCAGAGGTTTTATTCCTAGGGGTCTCCGGGCTACCTGGTCACCTGAATAGAGCTGCTCACCTCACACTCAGACCCACCCCTGGGTTTAAGGCTCTGCTGGTTTTCTCATGGCAGTACCTACAAAGCAGAACCGAAACCATTGCCCCAGAGAGGCCCCAGCGTGAGTGGCTTTATCAATACTATGCCAGCTAAAGATATTCGAAAGGAATTTGAACTACAGAGTCAATATATAGATTGAAAAAACCAGGTGAGCAGCCCGGCGTCCAGCCCGGGCTGCCGACTGTCCCCGTGGCTACCAGGGCACACTGGGTGAAAGGCACAGGGATCTCTTTACACTGTCTTTGCAACTGCCTGGGACTCTGTCATTATTTCCAAAAAAAAGGGGTGTCTTTAAAAAAATCAGGTTGTCACTAAGTAAAGATCACTCAATTCCAATTTGGTGGCCCTTGTGAAATCTAAGTGAAGTTGCTGCTGGAATCTTGGAACACAAGATTCCAGCAGGGAATCCTGGACCTGCCGGGTCCTAGACCTGCAGCTGCAGGGCCGAGCTTCAGGGCTGGGGGTGCAGCTCAGGGGCAGAGCACCTGCTTAGCATGCAGGAGGCCCCGAGCTCCAGGTTAGAACAACAACAAAAAACAGCTCTAAATTGACTTCAGCTTCTAAAGTGAGCCCACTCTGCAGAGGCAAGGATCCAACTCCCTCCTTCAAAGTAGAAAGATATAAATAAATAAATTTCAAAGTCAAATCCAAAGAGAACTTTACCCGGATGCTTTCATTCTGACCCATTTACAGCTGGTTCTCGGGGGGCCTTTGGGGCGGATTCTCACAGCGGGCACAATTAATCACAGGACTTGGTATGCATGAAACCAACATCACTACCCGCCCTCCCGCCTCCGTGCCAACTTAAAAATGCAAATTCCCACATGGCCCAGATTCCTTTAAAACGGAGGCAACAGTCAATCATATGAAATGAGCCAGAAATTCTAAAACCATTGCCCTTACATTGAAACTTTGGGTTCTTCCAGATGCCAATGACTTAAACACTCCCCACAGTTTCCGCTTTGAAAAGGACTGTCTTGAGGTCCCTGTGCAGCAGTGGCTCTATTTCTAGCCCCTCCTGGGCAATGTGAGCTGCTGCTGCAAACCCAGAATCAGAACCTGGCAGGAGCAGACGAGGCACGGGCATCGCCCGCACTTGAGAAGCTCATCTGGCCAGGACAGCGCTGGCACCTCGGTCCGCCGTCACGGGGCAGAGCCTGGAGGCCAGATTTCCTTTGGTTGTTGAGGACCATGTAGACATAAAAGCTCAAGAGGGCCTGACAGCAATGTCACCACATTCAAGTGAAAATACATGCGCTCGGGCCAATAGAAGAACCTCATGACCTCTTCATTAGGGAGGGAAGATTTTATTAATGACTTTCCCCCTGGACAGACTGTGACTCAACAAACTCGCATAGTTGCATTTATTAAGTGACAGTGAGGGTCACATCCTCCTGCAAGGCCATCCGTGGCAGACACCAGCCGAGGTCCTCTGGTGCCTCGTGATGTGTGTGGACTTTTTAATTGAGAAATATTAATTAAAAGCTAGAAGGCGACTTTTTTTTTTTTCTCATTATCTACAGATGCTGCCGAAAGGAGGAATGTTTTATCAGGTTTCAAGTGACACAGATATAAGTTGGCAGTTGGCAGCTTCACACACAATCTCATCAGCAAGTGAAACTTGATTTTAGCCAAAGCTCAGACAGACAAGGAGACTCGGCGTGCGGGGCCCGCGGTCCACCGCGCCACCCCGCCGCGCATCCGGTCCTCCCGGGGCTGCCTGTAACAGTCACGGTTGTGGGGAGGGACAACTCCAAGTTTTAAAAAGGTTTTAAGTGGTATTAAATATAAGTCTTAGCACCTTTGGCATTTTTGTCCAAATAGACTTCGACGTACGAGGTGGGGACATAGCCCTCTTCGTCCTCGTTCCTCCGGATGCGGGTCCACCCGTCGCCCTTGTCCTCCTCGATGACGTACAGGATTTCTCCTTCAATCACGGAAATGGTTCCTTCATTCTGACCTGCAGAGGCAACATGGCAACGCTTTAGATTTCTTGTCCCAGCAGAAAGCCAGGGGGACCTTGGCGGGGGAAGGCAGTAGGGGTCAGTCTGGGGTCAGTTCGAAGGCCATCCCCTTAGACCTCCTGCACACAAGGTCCCTCAACGCTGACCCCGAATGCTCTCCTCCCACCTAGAGACCTTCTGGGTCTCCCGTCCATCTCTGCAGGGAGCCCCTTTCTGCTCCTCCCCCCCCCCATCCTCCCCCTCCGGGCTTTCTCTTGGTGACCGTGCCCCGACTCCGACTCCCTTGCCACAGTGTCCTCTCCTACGCAGGCTTTTTCCAGCGGCTACAGTTCCACCTGTAGCAAGCTCCCTCTGGCTGTGGCCCTGGCCCCCAGGAACCTGCGGCCACTGGGCTCCTGCTCCTCCCTCCCCATCCCGCTGGACAGCCCACGGTCCTGGCGACAGGGCTGGGGAGTGCCTCTCATTTCCTCTCCTCTTTGTTCCTGGGTCTGAGCAGCCTGTCCACGGCAACCTCTCTGTGTCCACTTGCTAAGATCAATTACAAAAGGCCAGCCACCGAGGTCCAGGCGGTTTTCTGAAAGACCAATAGCTTAGGGACCTGTTGGCAGGGTGACAGGGTGGATTGGAGGCGGCACGGCTTGGATGGCAAGCAGCGGCGGAAATGGTGAATCTGGTGCTTCTTTCTCATTTTGTAAACAAGGACTTTTAGCCTGTTAAAGGCTCCGAAAAGTCCTGGCACACCTGCCTGTGCCAATCATGGTGGCCCAGGCTGAGGCAGGAGGATCATGAGTTCAAAGCCAGCCTCAGCAACTTAGTAAGGCCCTAAGCAATTCAGCAAGATCCTGTCTAAATATAAAAAATAAATAATAAAAAGGGGCTGGGGATAATCCCTGGAGAAAGAGGAGCATTTAGATAGATTTAGATTTTAAAAAAACCTACTGTAAATCTCATTTATCTCAGGGCTTCCCAAACATACCTGAGCTCAGAGTTTCTTTTCCTAGTGACCCTGTAACATTCTTAGAAACAGACTTTGGAGCTTTACATTAGAAACCCCAGGTGGGTCTGTCAGTCCATTCTGTGAGCTGACTGCCTCCCCTGTGGCCCAGGGCCCGGCGCTGACCACGTCCACACCCTGCCCAAATCCTTCCAACAGGTCCTCAGTGTCTGACCACATCTAATGCTCCTCTCTCCGGCCACGGCACGTCCACCTTCCCTCTAACACCCCACATCCCACTCCCACCCCTCTACCCGGAGCCCCTCTTCCTCCCTCCAGCCCCACTCCGCTCCCCTGGGAGGGCTCTCACTCTCCAGGCACAGAGGCCGCCCAGGACCCTCCTTTGACAGGAAGCCCCTCTGTTGTGGGGGTCTGCTCTGCTTCTCCAGGGAAGGGGCCACTCCAGCCCCCTGCCCCCGCACCCTCCTGGCCGGACAGTCCAGGGCTCCGCAACAGTCCTGACCCCACACCCTCTGCCACAGCTGTCAGGTGCCAGGGACCAGAGTCCGGGTGACAGGGACAGGTCTGGGAAGCTCTAGGGAAAGTTTTGGTCCCAGGAAGAGCGACGCGGCCCTGCCCCAGGGAAGGCAGCAGAGGCCCGGCCGCCTGGGCTACCTTCAAAGGTGTAGAGGGCCTTGCAGGTCCCTATGGCGGGCAGGGGCTCCTCATCATCGAACTCGTCGTCGAAGTCGGTGGCCAGCACCTTCACCTCGTTCTCCTGGCTCCGCTCCTCCGTGTAACTGCCATCGGGGCTGCTCAAGAGAGGAAGACCCGCGCCAACTATAGCGACCGCGACGGCGACGGCAGGGAGGCGCCCCCTGTCCCCCCAAAGGGTTCCACCCCCGCAAAGCGCCTGCCACGCTGGCATGACAGGACCCTGTGGTGGCCCTCCGCTGGGATCACCACTCCAGCAGAGCTCAGCCCCACTGTGGGGGGTTCACAGGGCCCTGGGATCCACATTTCCAGAGGCCAGATCCAGGCACACACCCAGTGCCCCGCTCCCGCCGGGCGCCGCGCAGATACTGTACCTCTCGCGGTCCTGCGCGCAGCTGTTGGCCGTCGGGGCGCCCTGGCCGTCGTACATCCCGCTCTGCCGCCGCGCCTGCTCGCCCCGCGCGGGGAGCCGGCCTTCCACCTCTGCCAGCCAGGCCTGGGGACGACAGCCAGGAGGACTAGGGCCTGAGCTCCCAAGGCCGGACAGCCATGAGGCCCCAGGCCACCAGGTCTGCACAGGACTGGAGGTGCTGCACCACTGAGCCGCATCCCCAGTCCTTTTTATGTTTCTACTTTGGAATCTGGGATCCTCCTGCCTCAGCCTCCCGAGGATTGCAGGAATAGGGCCGCAGCGGGGCTCCACCACTGGCTTTTTATCTGAGTTCAGAGCCACAGAAGGAAGCTCCTGTTCACCTAATTTCCCCCGCCGCTGCGGCAAAAAGTGCACTGGACTAGCTTTACCCTTGGGATCTAAGCAACGGTGTGGCCTTGGGTGAGTGACTGACTTCTAATGCCCAACATTCAGTGCCCCGGCCCCCGGCCACTGCTGCACCTGGGTTGTCTGCTTCCTACCACCCGTTCCTGAAGCAGCCCGAGAAGGGACATTGGATTCCACCCAGGGACACAGGAGTGACATGGCCGCTCCCTGTGTCTGCTCCGACACCTGCTTTTCCGTACCTCAAATTTCTGGGCCTCTAGCCTCAGCTTCTCTATGTTTTGGCTGACTTCTGTCAGTTTGTGGTCCAGACTGGCCGGGTCTCCCATCTGCGGGTTCTTCAGGTAGACGTCCTTCATTTTGGTTATAGCGTCTCTGAAAAAAATGAATGAGCAGAACATGGTCCCAGCCGCCCGGGGCCCAGGGGCCACTGTCCCCCAGGCACTCTTTGAAAACCAAGTGCCTGGAGCTGGGGGCCGATGAGACCTGCATGGATTTGAAGGGGCTGCTTCCTTCTAAAACCTTTCCATGTGAATTCTGCTCCCAAGGTCTGCAGAATCCAGGTCTGACTTTTAAAATCCCAGTTGCTTTGGCTGAATAAATAAATCCCATTGTCTTCAGGGAAGGAGAAACACCATCCATCCTGCCCCTCCCTCGACCCTAAACAGCAACACAAACAAACAACATCCAAGTATTTCCATGTGGGCGCTCCCTGCGCTGACAGCAGTGTCAGCCGGGGCTGGGCCCCTGGTTTTCGTGGGCTGCCCTGTGCTGATCTCAGGGAGAAGCACAGCTCGTTGCTTTGCAAATTTGATGAGGAAACATTTCAGCTAGGAGACAGTGCTGCTTGAATCCACAGCTGGTCATGCCGGGCAACAGAGCCTTAAAGTGCACATTCCAAAATTCCACTCCCTTCCCGAAATCCCAGTTTGGAAATGACCCCTAGGAGCCAGAGTGAGGCTTCCCAAGAGCAGCCTGCAGGCCTGTTGGGGCTTCTCTAACTACTAACTAACCCTGACCTCAAGGAGCTTCCCTAGCTGCCAGCTTATCATTAAGACAGGAAAGAGAAGAAGAGGGTTGCAGCCACCTGCCTGCTTCCATCAGGCCTGGGCGGTCGGCCTCCCCCACATGGCCACTGTGAACTGTCAGCTCCGCCTGGGTCGACTCTCCAGCAGAGCCTGAGGTCCACTTGGACCACCAGCCTCTTGACCTGGCTCTACTTTCTTTTTTCCCAATAGCATGCACCAATGGCCTGTGTTATAGAACTTGCTATGAGAACTCTGGTGTTCTGTGTCTTTTCTCACTGGAATAGAAGCTCTCTGAAGAGCTCAATGTTTTTCTAGCTTGATGTGTGTCCCCAGTGTCAGGCCCAAAGCAGATGTTCAGTAAAAACCTGTTAAATGAATAGATGTTCTTACACAATGTCATCCACCCTTACGAAGCTCTTTGCAAGATCCCTTTCTCAACCTCATGGCTCCCCTTTCACCCACTGCCCTGTTTCTCAGAGTCCTCTGAAGAGTGGTCACAATCCATGATCTTCAGTCCCCCTGCCAGTCCAGTCTCTGCTGACCAAACTCTCCAAAAGCTCATCAAGTTTATAGTTTTGTTTTTTTTTTTTTTTGAGCTGGGATTAAACCCAGGCCCTGCACATGATATGAAATTTCCCTACTGCTGAGCTACATGCCCAGTCCCAATTTTATTGATTTTTGTTGTTGCTTTTTGTACTGGGAATTGAACCCAGGGGCATTAAACCACTGAGTTACATCCCCAGAACTCCACCCTTTCTTTCTTTCTTCTTTTTTTTAAATACCTTCATTTTATTTATTTATTTATTTTTTTGTGGTGCTGAGGATCGAACCCAGGGCCTCGCACGTGCTAGGCGAGCGCTCTACCGCTGAGCCACAACCCCAGCCCCCACTTCCTTTTTTTGAGACAGGGCCTTGCTAAGTTGCTGAGGCTGAGGCTGCCTGGAACTTGTGATCCTCCGGCCCCAGCCTCCCAAGTCACTGGGATAGAAAACCACCCAGCTTTTCCTAATTCTTGAGATGAAGCCTCAGCTCACTGACTTTTAGTTTTCTTTCTTTCTTTTTTTTTTTTTTTTTACCATTTAATAAGCTTTCTTTGTTTTTTAATATGCATTGAAAGCTACAAATGTCTCTTTATAAGTATGGCACTAATAATGTCTCAGAAACTGACATGTAGAGTGCATACTGACATTTAGTTCTGTTCCATGTGCTTTCTACCATCTGTTATGATTCTGTCATTAGTCTAGGGGTATTCAGAACTACATTTCCTAATTTTTTTTTTTCTTTGTACCAGGGATTGAACCTAGGAGCGCTCTACCACTGAGCCACACCCCCAGCCCTTTTTATATTATTTTTTATTTTGAGACAGGGTCTCAATAAGTTGCTTAGGGCCTTACTAAGTTGCCGAGGCTGGCCTTGAACTTGCGATCCTCCTACCTCAGCCTCCCGAGTCATGGGGATTGGTTCATTTTCTTTTATAAACACATTTCCGTGTCAGGCAGTGTTGTAAGCATGAGCGACACACTGACTCGTTTAACCCTCACACAAACAGGATGTATTAACCTCCTTTAAAGAGGAGGCCAGGGTTGTAGGAAGTGCTGTGGTGTTTTAAACCCCCATCCCACTTCAGGCCGAGGCTCGCCTGACCTGTTCTCTGGACGTGTTCTCTACTTTCTCGTTTGGGATTATTACAGATGTTTTCCCCTTAGATCATGCTACTTATTTTTGCTTAAAACCTTTTTATCTATTCTTGTTTTTTGTCCTGAACAAAATGTGAGTTGCAGGAGAACAGAGGTTTGTAAGTTTTGTCTGTGGCATCTAGAGTGTTCCCTTGTGACAGAAACACCCCACAGGCTGTTGCTAGGTGAGCACAGTTTGCCGCATCACCAGTGAGGGCACCCTGGAGGACAACGGCTGATCAGGGCTCCTAGCCACCACCCGAGTGACACAGAAATTCCCCTACACAATGTTGGACCATTAGAGAGAGAAGCTAGATCCATCTTAAGTCTGCCAATAAGCTTTTTTTTTTTCTTTTCTCTTTTTGAGGCAGGGATTCACTATGTTGCTCAGGCCAGTCTCCCAATCCTGGGCTCAGCCGATCCTCCAGGCTCAGCCTCCAGAGTCAATGGGTCTCCAGGCACAGGCCACCGTGCCGGGCACTGTCAGTTCTAAAAGGCCATTTCAGTTACTCAAGTCTAAGTTCTTAGTCCTGTAGAAAATGTAACCACTCACTTATTAAACAGCATGAAGTTTATTATAGTATACTAACTTTTTATGTTTGGTCCCATATGTAATAATAAAAACTATAATAAATGCACGGAACTGGGCATAGGGGCACACGCCTGTAATCCCAGTGGCTCAGGAGGCTGAGGGAGGAGGACTGAGAGTTCAAAGCCAGCGTCAGCAACTTAGCGAGGCCCTAAGGAACTTATTGATACCTTGTCTCAAAATATAATATATATAAATGCATGGGAATATTGCATGATACCCAATAATATGTACAATTTTTATGTATCAGTTGAAGAATACATTTTAAAGAGAGTACAAAGCAAAAATTCCATCTTGTGTAAAACAGTTAATTATAGGTGTTCCTATTTTTTTATACTGTCACCATGTTTAAAAAGTGACCTGTGTTTTAGGAGCTGCTCTACCAGAGACAAAGGAACTCCTTTTTTTTTTTTTTTTTTGGTACCAGGGATTGAATACAGGGGCACGTGACCACTGAGCCACATCCCCAGCTCTATTTGTATTTTATTTAGAGACAGGGTCTTGCTGCGTGGCTTAGTGTCTCACTATTGCTGAGGCTGGCTTTGAACTTGTGATCCTCCTGCCTCAGCCTCTGGAGCTGCTGGGGTTACAGGTGTGTGCCACCGTGCCTGGCAGGAATTATTCTTTAAAATGCACTTTTGTGTGCAATTAGGCCGTTATTCTCTTACCAGGTTTGTTTGCATTGTTTTGTTGTATGATTGATTTTCTTCTTCTTTTTTTGCAGTGCTGGGTTTGAACCCAGGAACTCATGTATGCCAGGCTCTACCACTGAGCTACAGCCCAGCCCTCGGCCCATCTCATAGAGCACTAAATCTCAAATCAACAGATGATTCACCTAACTCACTCAGAGGCAGGCAAGGTGGGAGAAGATTAATAAAGCGGTCTTTCAATCGGGATGATTAGCAAACTGCCCCGTGAGGTGTGGCGAGCTTGATTCTGAACGTGGGCAGGGCGAAGTCAGCAGGGCCTCGGATGTGCAAGGCCGGGGGCTCCAGGCCCTGCACAGATACACAGCACAGAAGGAATGCGCAGGACAGACGGCAAAAACAGATTTTTTTGCATGTACATTAACTTATCATCCCCGAGATCAAACTCATAAAACAGCTCAGCACCCGGGCACCCGGCGGCAGCGGAGCCTCAGGCCAACTCTTTTTAGAACCCACGAGCAGCTGGCAGCGTGCGGTGGGGCTTCCCGGGAGTTGTTTCCTAGAGACCAGCAAAGGCGACCTGGGCAAGGCTGCTTGTCCTCCGATAGGAGGGCAGTAGATCTGACCCAAAGCTGGGTGGGGAAGGGAGGGGGAGGGAACTGAGCCTCTTTCTGTTGGTGCCAAATATTCACCTGTGATAAAAGGAGGTGTGTATTTTGTTTCCAAAACCCAGAATAAAATCTGGGTTTTTATTCTTGGAATAAGGGAATCCCCGAGGTGAGAGTTAAGCAACAGCAGACTATGACCAAACACCGCCCAACCCGAGCTTCGTCATACGTCATCCACTCTACCTTTGATCCATCTCCTTTTGAATTTCTTTATTTAGTTCATCGACTTTCTGTTGGAGCTTTTTCCTTCTTTGTTCAGGGGGGAGGTTGCTGAAGTCCTCGGGGGTGGCGCCCTGCAGAGGCAAACGTGAGTGAGAGGCCAGGAAGCAGAGCGCGTCCGCGCCAGGCCACAGACACCCCGCACAGGTGTCTGCAGATGGCTCCCCAAGTAAGCAAAGCCTCCCCCCTCACCCGCTGGGACACGAGGGTCAGTGCATGCAGACTCTCACGACCACCCAGGCTCCACGCCGTGGCCGAGGTTTGGGAAAGGGAAAGAGCAACGAGGAGGGAGGGAGGTGAGAGGCTCGGACTCCAGCGAGACGGTGAAGAACCCTGGAGTGGAGGTGGGTGTTCCTCTCTCCTCTCTGTTTTGGTACCGGGATCGAACCCAGGGGTGCTCAACCACCGAGCCACATCTCCAGCCCTATTTTTTTAAAACATTTTTTTTGTGTCAATTTTATTGAGGTACAATTAGCACACAGTAAGATTTGCCAGTGTGTGTGTGTGTGTGTGTGTGTGTGTGTGTGTGGTGCTGGGGATCGAACCCAGGGCCTTGTGCCTTCGAGGCAAGCACTCTGCCACCTGCGCTCTAACCCCAGCCCTCACAGCCCTATTTTGTGTTTTATTTAGAGACAGGCTCTCACTGAGTTGCTTAGCACTTTGCTTTGGCTGAGGCTGGCTTTGAACTCGTGATCTTCCTGCCTCAGCCTCCAGGCTGGGACGACAGGTGTGCCTGTGGCCCTTTTTATTGGTTATTTTCAGACAGGGTATTGCTCAGTTGCTGGCAGTCTCACTGAGCTCTAGGCTGGCTTTGGACTTGGGACCCCCCTGCCTCAGCCCTGGATCACAGGCGTGGCCACCCTCGGGCTGGGGGCAGATCCTGGTGGGTCTTCTGGGGGCCCTGCCTGCAGCAGCCCTGCTGAAGTTTCTGTCTCCTTAATGTCACCCACCCACCCACCGCTGCCCAGGACCCTGCTGCTTTCCCCTGGTCCTGGGAAGTGACACAGGGGGCCTCTGGTGCCTCAGAGAATGGGTGAAAAGGACAAAAGTCCACCCTCCCCTGCCCCCCCTGCTGTGCCCCTCCTTCTGCTGTCTCTCAGGTCTGGTCACTCTGCTGCCTTAAGGGTGGCCTCAGGGCATTGGGAGGGGGCGCCCCTCGACCCAGCTCCCCGTGCCCTGCCCTCCTCCGTGTGGCCCGCGTGCCCAGCCCGAGCCGACTTGCTGGAAAGCTGCCCGACTGTGGCACCCAGGGCTTCCCTTAAGGGAGGCTGTTCCACAAGAAAGACAGATGCAGACAGAACGAGGATGAGCCGGGAACCAGGGAGAGATGGCACCTGAACACCTCCGTTCTTTTAAAATAAGGGCAAGGCTGGCTCGGGCTGGGTGGCGGGAGGGGGCGGGTAATGTCATCCCACCACCAGGCCGAGACGGCCAAGCAGCTTACTGGGGGCTTGTGACCGATTATGACAAAATGGCAGGGGGCCACGCTGCAAAGTGCGTGACTCAGCAAATAGCTGGCCACCAAGGCCCGCGAAGGCCTCGGCTACTGTTCTCAGACCGGCCTGTGACACACTGGGGCTCCCCTGGGTGTGCGTGAGAAGGTGGGGGAGGTGGATTCCCACTCCCAGCACCAAGCCCAGAAGGTTCCCCTGGACACCAAAAACGAGGTGAAACGAGACTCATCTTCAACATAAGGATCAAGCAGGCCCGGGGCTTTCCAGACGCCGTCCACCCCACACTGGAACCCAACTGCTCTCTGCCTTTTCCTTTGCCAGTTCAACCCTGGACTAGAGCTGAACCACCCACAGCAGGTCCGTGTGCTCTTCAGAACTGGGACTTTCTTTTCTTTCTGTACCAGGGGCTGAACTCAGGGTGCGCTACCTCTCAGGTACATCTTCAGACCTTAGTATTTTTATTTTGGGACAGGGCCTTGCTAGGTTGCCCAGGCTGGCCTTGAACTTGTGGTCCTCCTGCCTCAGCCTCCGGAGTTGCTGAGATTACAGGCGAGGGCACCAGGTTGGGTGATTTTTTTTTTTTAAAGTCAGAATTAACAAAAAAAAAAAAATGACGCCATGTAAGACACAGTGCCTTGGAAGTCGGGACATCAGGTAAGTGGTCACGTTCCTTCTGTTAACATCTGCTGGGCCGAGGGACGTGCCCCGAGTCCCACAGAACCCTCTGGGTGACGGGAATGTTCTATAAGAGCACCAGCCACAAGGCTGGAAGGACCATGGGACTGGACTGTAAAGTGTGCTTAGGACAGGTGTCAGAGGTACACCGTGTGTGCACAGCCAAAAAGAAATCGGGAGGCCACGCACACTGTCCAGATGACTTAGAAACAGATCTCCTGAGTGACAAGAAGCCCACAGATTCTTTAGCCAAAGCAGAACGATGAAGTGACACAGGAATGGATTCTTTTCAATTGATAAGATAGTCCATCAAATCGACCACTCAGGTCCCCTTCAATCAACAGTCTGTGCTTCTGTGTTGTTCCTTGGGAACCAGTCTCCTAGCTGGGCATGGAGGTGCACACCTGTGATCCCAGTGACCGAGGAGGCTGAGGCAAGAGGCTTGCAAGTTGGAGGCAGCCTCCATATCTTAGCAAGACCCTGTCTCAAAATAAAATAAAAATATGGGAGTGTGGTTCAGTGGGTAAGCACCCCGGGTTCAATCCCCAGATCCAAAATAGACTAACCAAAAACCAGTTTCAGTAACTGTGCCTCAAACAAATGTCAATTGCCATCGGAGACTCAGCTTCTTCTGAATCCAAAGGAAGTCAAGCTTCGTGGAAGTACCTTACAAGGCCACTCCATCCACTTAGCCCTTCAGAGCTTGGGTTCCTGTGAACAACCCTCTGACCTGTGATTCATTTTGCCAAGGAGGAATTCTTATTTCTAACTCTGAGTCAGAAGAGACTTCTCTGCCATCTTTGGAGCAGCCCTGTTGACGGAAGCAGGCTGGACCAGGAAGGACCGGTCCTACCAGACACACCTACGGAGGTTGTAAGTGGCCAGAGTTCTGTGTGACGCTGAGAGTTGAGCCCCACACTTGCCCCTGGGCCACTCCCTACAGGTGACACAGCCCAGGGGACCGCGGGCTCTGGGCAGTTTGGCAGTGCTTACACTTCACAGGTTTCTAGGGTGTGGAGCCACAGCTCGGAACCTAGTGAGTAAGAGGACTTCTATTTCAAACAGACTGCCCCAAAGGACTGCCTTCCCCATCCACAGCAGCAAAGAAACAGAAGAGGGTAGGAGGGAACCCTGGCATCTGGGGAAGGCTCCGGGTCAGTCAACTCCATTTTACCCAAATTCAACCTGCGGACAAATGCATTTCATTTCTCTTTTTAATAATTCCAATCAAAGGCTCTTGGGATTTTATTTCACAGTCTGAGATATGTTTTTATTTTATGTATTTTATTTTTTTAATTTAGTTTTTAGTTACAGGTGGACACAATGTCTTTATTTTACTTTATGTGGTGCTGAGGATTGAACCCAGTGCCCCACACATGCCAGGTGAGTGCTCTACCTCTGAGCCACAACCCCAGCCCTGAGACATGTTTCTAATAAATATTTTTTTTTCTTTGTTTCTGCTAAGACGTTGAGTCTGGCCTCTAACTTGCAATCCTCCTGCCTCAACCTCCCAACTTGCTGGGATTATAGGTGTGCACCTGCACATTGGGCAAAATATTACTGTTTTTTCTTTAGGGTTGGGCCAGTTGCCAAACACTGAGTCAGGCTGGAAACACACATGTGTCTACAGACACATACATGGATAAGTTACACATGAAGGTCAGCACCGTAGACTGCCCTGGGCCAGCAGCAGCAGTGCCCCCACTGTGCTGGTCTTACTCCTGGCTAACCGGCCAGTCTCCTGCTGTCCACGACTTGAGGATGTTCTCACCTGTGGCATTTGGCAAGATCGTGTAACCTTTACCCATCGCTGAAGCAGAGTTACGGGTTACGTTGGTTAAGAGTTTCTTTTAATAAATTTAATGATTAGTCTGCCCGTTTACCAGAGCAGAGGAGGAACAGCACAGGACAGGGCTCAGGAGGGTCTCGGCACTGTCCGGAAGGTCATCGCGTGGCCTTCAAGTCAGCTCTGCGCAAGACTCCAGCAGGTCCACAGGGCGCCTGGGGGCCAGGGCGGCTTCCCTCCTCCAGGCGCCTGGAACCCGAGCAGGCGGGTGGCTGCTGCGAGTCTCTTTGGGTTCCAGTGTCTCTCAGCTGCTTCCGCAGCTCTAGGAGGGGAGCATCCTTCACTTAGTCAATCTGCTTTTTTTCCATAATGGTCCAATAAGTGTCCCCCTCCAATTTTGGACATGCCCATAGAGAGCTCACCACCATGTCACCCTCTTAGGGCCCCAATGACACAGAGAACCAAATCATGGGTTAGGTATTAATTTCCTTAGCAACTGGAAGAGATTAAGACCACCACTATTAGGCCCCGGACCTCATGCCCACAGGTCAAAAGCTCCCAAGAGGAATGGAAGGAGCAGTTAACCTGGGGATCCAGAGCCAAGGCCCCGCCTCCGCCAGGCCCCCAACACCTAAGTAGATCAGGACATGCACGGGGCGTTGTGCTTACCAGCTTGAGAGAAAGCTTCCCGTGAAAATTGAAGAGGTGACAGGGAAAAAGAGAGAGAAAACAACACATCAGAACAGGAGGCCCGGCCCGGGTCCACATCACACACCACAGATGCACCCGCCGGCCGCGAGGACGACCTGCGGCGGATCTGTGCAAAGGTTCACAAGAGGGTCTGACCCCAGCAAAGCTTCTCCTAGCTGCTGCAGCGCCGGCAGAGACAGTCGGCGTGGTCCCTCAGCCTGGGTCCCGATAGCAAGCTGGTACTTGGGGACATGTAGGGTGATGGGGAAAAAAACAGCCACAGGGCCAACCCCGCCCCACGGCTTTGCCCAGGTCTTATCAAGGCTACACATCGGTCACTCGGTCACTCGAATGGACGTGAACCTTGGCGTTCCGTAAAGGCGTGAAGGGGACTCTGAACTTAGTGAGAGGGAAACAAGGATTAGAAATTGTTCTATGAAATGACCTGCAGGAGCCAGTCCCTGAGTTCTAGAGAGCACAGGGACAATACCAGAGCCCCAGCCACCACCTCCGGCCAGGGGAGGGGTCTTCTGGCCTCCCAGCGCTGTCCCCGTGGACTAGGAAGCCTCGGGAGAATTACTGGGAGTTGCCGAGGGTGCTCCTGACTACGGATCCCTGAGGATCATCAGGCCATGGCAATGCGATCCTGCTGTGCCTGGAGACYGGGGAGGGACATCGATTACTGGGCCAAAAACAGGTAAAAGGGTGTCACCAAATTGGAAAAAGAACGTGGCTCTGCATTCAAGGTGCGTGGCTGAAAGTGGCCCCTGGAGACTCCAGGGCATGATGTTCCCTCCGTGGCCATCAATCCTACAGGTTGAGGCAACTGGTAGTAGGGCCCCAGAATAATTTGGAGACAAAGTACCAAAGGAGGTGCCCTTTGATTTTAAATGGGCGGTTACTCAGGTTTTTGAAATGCAACCCTTCAGACTGACTGAACGCTGACACTTCTTTGTAAATAGGCAGTCACTTTGATGAGCAAGACAACTTTTGAAGGAAAGAAATAAAAGCCTCTCCAGGCACAGGTGACAGGTGACCTCTGTCTGGTGGGGACTAGTGACGCTCACTGCCCAAGCCTCCTGGAGCCTTGGCCCAGATCCGCTCACGGTGACCTGAGCTGGTCACACGCAGACAACACTGAGGGCGCACACGGAGACTTTCCAAACAGCTCTCCCCGAAGCCCTCGGGCGCACGCGGCTTCCCGACTCTGTCTGGCGGAGCTCACTCAAGGCACGGACACTAGGACTGGACGCGCTAGTCGCCCTCAACTCAGCTGCTCCTGTCACTTTTGTTCTTAAGGGTTCCCAAGACAGACTTCTAACCTCAAAACTACATCGTCGTCGGAAGATTACTACCTCCTAAGAAAAAGAGACGGACAGGATCCAACATGGATCCCCGCAGAAACCGGAAATACCCAGTCCCCAGAGTCCACGGGGAAGCGCTGTCGGGACAGGGACCTCCTTTGAAGGATGATCAACTGGTTTTCAGTCTGAATTTGTGAGTCAGCCAATTAGATCCCTCGAAACCAGAGAGCTGACCATCAGCYAGGAGAATGACTTTAAAGGCTTCACCCAGTGCATTGCCAGGCACCTGAACGGCTCAGAAGCTGTCCCTTTCAGGCGACCAAGAGCCTCGGGGCCAGAAGCATCAATAACACATGAGGGAACACAGCGCCGGCAAAGCCCATGTGTTATTGGACAGTCACAGGTACTAACCTCAAGAACAAGGAAAGGGGACAGTGGAAACCGCTCGTGAGCCCGTGTATTTAAGGAAAGTCCTTCCACTAGTGTGTGGCTCACGCTTCGTGGGCTTTTTTCGTCCCAGCTTTACGGCATAAACCCCCGAGGGATCTGTTTGTTAGAAACCCGGCCGTGGGCGACCGAGCCACGGGATGGCCACCTGCCAGAGCACCGCGTCTGCGACCACGCTCTGCGGCTGCGTTTTAATGGGTGAGATTCTGTGGCGAAATCATACCCGGTGACATCTCAGACGGCAGTCACCATCCCTTTAAAGATTTTGCCAGAACTAGAATAAAAAGGTGGGAACCCAGCGAGGGGAGCCTGCTGCTTTTCCCATGCAAGCTTTTCGGAGGAAGCAGCCGTGGAACGCAGACGATCAGACTCTTCCCCGCCCCGCGCAGGTCTCCTGAGGGGGCACTGCATTTGGTGGTGTGGAAGCATTACAGGTACCCTCGGGTCCCAGCCGAGGTCCTGTCCCTGGGGTTAGTGGCTGTGCCGTGACTGCGTGACCTGCTGCCACAGTTAAACTTACAACATAGTCCCTAGCCTCAAAGGCATACGTGGGTTTCCCTAGCGTCCTCTTCATGAGTTCTTTGTGTAAACAGAGAGACTGAGTCTGCCAGTGACCAGCAAGAAAACAAGATAAAATAAGCAAAATTAAAGTAACCACAAGATTGTTCAACCCACAAACGATTGGTATGGCTTTTCAAAATCTTTTGATCATCCTTGATTTTTTTGATGCTACATTTCCATACAACTAACTCTACAATATGGGGGGGATGCCCATATTTTAGATATAGAAGTCCCTTGCACAGGCCAGGAGAAGAAGTCTTCATTGAAGACCAAAAAAACTACACTTTGTAGATTATAAACCAGGGATTTACAACTCTCTGGCTTCATTTTTCTTTGACTTATGTGAAGATGAGACAATAGTGAAACGTCTGTGGCATACCAATCTTTGAAGATGCTCAGAAAAACAAAATTTTCTTATATAAACGCCAATGGCTTACAACAACAACAAAAAATTCTATCCTGTTTCATCATTCAGAAACAGAACCGGTTATGCTAAGAAACGTCTGCACAAGAGCCATACTCTCTGACAGCTGAATCAGCGATTGAGACCTGAGCCCAAGGACTGCAAAACGGGAGAAATCAAAAGACATTGGAACCACAGATTTGTTACTCTCCTAGGATACTTTTTCTAATGAAATCACCTTTGGTAGGACAGTCTCAAGTTAAAAGAGGAGAATAAATAAAATGACAGAGACTTTGCCACCTCAGTCCTGAGGCTGTGGGTGTCCTTTGGGGACACTGGGCACCTTCTCTGCTGAGATGGCTTTGAAGTCCAATCCATTTCCCAAACTTTAGGTTTACACGTTTTGCCTGAACGTCCTGGTATGTCCTTTTTCTTTTACTTTCTTTCCTTTTCCAGTTTCTGCCTAGAGGAATGAGGGGACAGCAAACATGACCCTCACTAAAAATAGTCTGACCAAAATGAGGAAGGAAAACCATTTCTTTACCAGTGCTTCCAGTGCCTATGTGGTGGTTTGCCCTCAGGAAAGAAAAAAAACTAACAGACACTCGCTGAGCACAGATGTGAAGAATAAGAAATAAAATTCATTTTGCTGATTATGATAAAAAAAAAAAAAAGAAAGAGGATTTTCCTTTAAGTCATCAAAATAAGCCAGTTTCCCGTTCCAATGTTTGGTTTTTAAGTATGTTTGTTGGTGAAGGCCTCGGAAGTGCAGCCAGGGTGACGTGTCACAAACTCACAGCTTCGTGGCCCAGCTCGCCTCACATGCTAGGAGCACGGCCACGGGCCCGCCCCGCCTAAGCAGCCCGGGAGCTGCCGATTCCTCAGCCAGCCCCAATAACAGAGCTCGACTCCGTCCGCCATCCACTCCCAGAGCCACACTCACCTTCAACAGTGCCCCTGGACAGCTTCAGGATATCAGATTTCTAGCTCCTCATTTGATATGCGGGGGAACCTTAAAGCCATCTAATTCCAAATTCTGTGCACAAAACCTTGAGATTCTCTCATTAAAAGAACTCTACCTATAAAGAATTGTTGTTTTTGTCCCTTATTATAATAGCTAATAGCCTAGTTATCCATCATATATAGGACTCTACACACACACACATATATACTTATGTATCTTAACTTTCTTTTTACAGAGAGTACTTTTGTAGACTCAGAGGAATATGGACTGTCAGGTCAATGGTTAACTACTGTTATTCTCTACAGGTATCCAGCAGATTGATGCAAAATCTGAGCAGGACACTTGCCATCCTGAAGCAGTTTTTCTCCAGAATCTCTTCCTGTGCCCATGTGACCCTCCAGGGGAAAGGCCACAACGCGTCTGCAGGTTCAGTTCAGCTCTCTGCTGGGCCTGCCTTTACCTGCAAGGCCTCCCACTTTGGCTCTGGGGTGACCTCACCATCAGGCACAGTATGGAAAGAAGTGACCCAACGGGAGGTCCCAGGGGAAGGGGAGAGTGAAATCACGTTTGTCCAGTCAAGCCTTCCGTTCCAGCCGAGTTTCAGCTCCCCAGGGACCGGGTCAGAAAACCCTACTGCATTTGTCAGTGCACTAAAGATGGAGGTATGGATATTTCCTTATAAGAGACATTTGGGGAAGCATTGGACTAGACCTACCCTTTGGTTTTATTTGGAGGCCTCCGATTACTTTGATCTCTTTTCATAAGCCAAACGGGAATGTAGGTTGGATTAGCAATCAGGTCCCGAGGCTCGGACACACGAGATCTCAGTCAGAATGGCAGACCTGAGCTTCAGTCAGAGCCTCTGATGCCTCAACCACATTCTGACAGGTTCTCCCCGACCGTGTGGTCATGGAATCTCAGACTCTGCAGGCAGATCCCTGGCTTCAAATCCTGGCTCCACATCTCCCAAATTTCACCTCTTTCTGCCTCAATTTCCTGGACAGCAAAGTAGGCAGATATCATGTCTAGAGGGGTGAAAGGTGAGCCTTCTCAGAGCACCCAGGAGCGCCACTGGCAGCCAGAGAAATGCAGGTCGAGCGAGCGCCCCGACCTGAAGTGCTCCCACCAGAGGCGGCTCAGGCTCCACATTTCCCCCCAGATTTTGAAATATTGCATATTCTAAGACATGACGAGACATCCTGCAGGGGGACCCAAGTCTAAAGCTGAAATTCACGTGTGTTACGCACACATCTCACACATGTAGCCTGAAGGGACGATATTTCTAGGGTGCTTACGGCTTTCTGGGGTGCTGGGGAAGAAACACAGAGCCTCGAGTGGGCCAGGCAAGTGCCCTCCCCCAAAGCCACCAGCCCCTGCACCTGGGTGGTCAGCTTGGAATCTTCACCCGCAGGGCCACGCGGCCACTCAGAAAGCCCCGGAGGTGGAAGCACTGGGTGACTGACTCTGGGTCAGCGCTGCCCGGCCTGTGCTGTGCTGGCCTCCGCACTTAACCGACTGTCATAACTCACTCACATCGCTCACGAAGCCGCTGCTGTGACATTTCCCCTTTGACCCCGAGACACAGCTCCAGAGAAGTGGCTCTGCTCCACGTCAGTTCAGGAATCACTAAGCAAATATTTTCTGACTCCATGGCCACTTCCAATTCCTCATCCCACACGTGGTTAGTTTTAGAAACAGAATGGTTCCCTTTTTTGGTGAAATCAAGGTGAAAATGTAACAACTTAGAGACTGTCAAGGGGAAGTGAGGAAAATCCTTTTGAAATGCACTGGACACAGGAGGTGCTGGGGGGGGCTTTCTCTCTCCCTCTCTCTGTTCTGTCTCCTGCTTTCCTCCTCTTTCTGTGCTTCTCTCCTTCCTCTCACCTTTTTTCTTTTTTCTGTTTTTGTTGTTGTTATGGGAAAACACAACGGATTCATTCACAAACAGAGAAGTCAGGCAGGACACAACGAGCCAGAGACAGTGCGCCAGAGAGACAGGACTCCGACTGGAGTGGAACTTACCCCACGCTTTAGGCTCCTGAAGCAGTGGATTTTGGGTTTGGAGATCATGAACTCGTTGAAGCGATGGGAGAGGGGTTCCTTTTGCTGCTTGGGAGACTGGGGGCCGTTGGGAACAGCAGAGGGTGAGGCAGAGGCGGGGGGAGGAGGGGGAGGCTGATGGGGGGATGTTAAGAGGGACACAAGCTACGTGTGAGAGATGCAGCAGTGACAGAGTAAAACCAGAAAAAGAAGATAAGACACAAAACAAAAATAAACATCAAACGGCATTTGAAATCCAAAGCAAGTCAAACACAAACCATTAAATATTTAGGCCATGGTCCAACAGAAAGCAGGAAGGAATGTCAAATGAAGGACAGGGTGGAAGGGAGAGGGTTAGTCCGTGGCGCGCAGAGGCGAAGCAGAGGCACCGAGGGGAAGCCCAGTGCGCGGCTGGCATGCAAACTACGGCTCTCCATGGTGACTCCAAAACCGGCTTAGGGAGGAAGGGGAGATGTGTCTACACCACCTAAACTAACACAGCTTGATGGGAGGTGATGGGAGGAGATGAAAGGCCTTGATGCCAAGGTCTTTCTAGAATTAAACAGTCCCTCTAAGGTTAGAGCCGTGGAGCCGCTTCCGTCTAAGCTTATGCGGAGGGAAACGCTGTCATGCACCTATGTTACCACACTACGGAAAGAAAATGGAGAATGTTCATGGAGACACATGTTAACGGGGATTCAAAACCCAGTTATTGCCCAGGGCCACAGGTTTAATCAGACGTGCTGCTGATGGTTATAGAGGTGGCGTCCTCACCCCCGCGCAGGTACCCAGCAGCCTCGGGGGGCTAGGAGTGAAAGGGCAAATGCACAGGGACAGGGTCAGTAATCTGTTAGTGTGGATGACACGGTACAAGTGAGAATGCGTCTGAAATAAGACAGCGGGCCATGGCAGCACTACCACCGACAGCAAGGCGGACCGGATCTAAAGTAGCACTCTAGATTTTTCTTTTTTTTTCATTCTGAAACTACAGATTTAATATTTTAATTTTTTTTTAAACCTAAAGTCCAAATCTCCACACTTTATCAAATTCATTCTGCACTGGGTCCAAACCACCAGTACCTTATTTTTCTTGATGAACGGCCATAGCTTTCCTTTGGATTTGCTGCCAAATTTGAGCTCGGGCTTGCCATCTCCTCTGGAATTTGAGAGGCTGTTGTCGGACACGGTGCGTTTCATGGGCTGCGTGTAGTCCTCAAATTCAATGTCTCCGGGGGGCTCAAAGCCCGACTTATAAGCTTCTATTACCAGCTGTGAATCCTGAAATCAAACCACAGGCACATCAGCCGCGCACAACAGTCCACCCGGGAATCCCGGCGCCCTCCTACGGCGGGATCTACAGAAACCGCGCGCTCCATCTCAGACTTCCAGACACTTCTCCACCCTGGAGGAACAAACCGAGTTAAAAACCACACTGTGAAAAGCAGGGGAAAAAAAGAAAGAAAGAAATCCATGGGCCATGATTACGCAACTCCCTTGATAAACAGAGTAACAGAAAAACCTGGTTCTGGCAGAAGCTTTGGAAGCGATTCGGCACGCGCTGGCCAAGGCCGGAAGAGACCCACTCGTTTCTCGGGTCACTGGGTTCAAAGACACTGATCTAGAGCCGGGTGTTCCCTGGTGTAGATGTTTGCCCACTAGAACATGAGCCCTCTTCTGGGTCCTCTCTACTGCATTCCCAGCACCCGAAGGGGTGCTCGGGTTCTTAATGAGATGGGTTCGGCTGGCCATCGCTCTTCTAGCTTATCCTTAAAGTGCAGGTGAGTCGCACTCCCGACGGACTTCCAACCACAGTCACCTGCCTTCTCGGTCCTAAGAGCTGACCGGGCACACTGCCCCTGGACAACAGGCTTCACTGCCTGGCCTCCTGAACAGCAAGAGGTAGCTGTGTGACTAAGTTTGGCTTCTGAGACAGAGGCAGAAGTGCACTGTGTGATCTTAGGAATTCTTCTTAAGGCAGTGGCATGAGCCTGTCTCTGGATTCTGTTTTCTGAAATTTGGATGTGATGGCTGGAGCTCCAGGTGCCATACTGGACCATCAGGTAGAAGGTCACATCATTGTGAGCACAACAGCAAAACTGGGAGCCTTGCATCCTCTGATCCCATCTAAGTAATTATTAAACTGTCTCCTCCAACTGCAACCTCACTTCCTGATAAAGTCCCTGTCCCCTAGTCCGGTGCCGTTTCTTCCTATCATTCTTTCCTACTTCATCTCTCCCCAAATGCTTGTCGGGTTTACGGTTCCACACACGTTCTCACTTACAGCAGCGCCTGGCACTTGTTAGGAATAAACAGAAGGCAGTGGTGGGCTTCAGAGCAAGGAGCACAGGCCCGGGGCGTCTAATGGACGCATTTTGAAAGGGACCTGGGCGAGACCGTAACCACTTTGGGCTCAGGGTTCTTCTCCGTAGGTCACGCTGGGGAGGACAGGCATGGAATGAGGCAGGGGTTCAGTGACACTCAGTGAACCATGTTATAAAAGCACCATGGAGCTGGGCGCAGTGGCCCACACCCACTATAATCCCAGTGATGGAGGAGGCTGAGGAGGAAGGACCCCAAGTTCGAGGCCAGCCTCAGCAACTCGGCAGGACCCGGTCTCAATATAAAACAGGGGCCGAGGGCTGGAGATGTGGCTCAGTGGCCCAGGGCTGGGGATGTGGCTCCGTGGCCGAGCACTTACTGAGCATGTGCAAGGCCCTGGGTCCGTCCCAGCACTCACTAAAAACACATAGACAGGACCCTTGGATTTAGCAACAAGAATATGAGATATGATTCTTAGTGACACGGTGGAAAAAGAGGCTCCTATAATGGGGGAAAATTCTAGAATCCAGTGGTGGCTCATCATTTCCCAGATAAAACTAAGCAAGGACCACATCACTCAGACAGACTCTGGCAAAGCCGTGGCTGAGGGAAGTCTCCCAGCTCCTAAGAGGAGACCTTAACATCAGGTTCCTTAGATCTTCACCGCTGCCAGACGCCTGTGAGGAGCCAGACCCACACAGAGGGCGTCCACGGTGGAAGGCCATGCTTCCCGGCTCCATCGCGCCCTCACCCCTTGAAAGACCCCCGGACATGACTCCCTGGTGATGACTGAGATGTTCACAGGGTGATCACAGGAAGCCTCATGGAGAGTATGTTTTTTTTTTTTTTAATAGATAAAACCATCAAAGAAAGGTTCAGCTTGGGGGACAGTCGCATCACATCTGGGGAAACGCCGTGGCATGTGCAGTTATTTAGGAGCATCGACGACTTTTCCCTGAGAATTCAGCTGCTGTCGTGGAAGGAGGAGGCTCAGACTCACTGTATTAACAAAAGGGAGACGGGGAAGCCCTAAATCACAACAAGACAGAGAAGAAACTCCACCCACCGCCCAGGAGCCCTCTCCCACCGACCGACGGGTCCCAGGTCACTGTTCTTAATGAGAGGATCTTGCCTCCCGGGGAGGCCTAACTGTGTCCCTTGTCACAACTGGGGGACCACCACTGGCATCTGGTGCCAAGTATCCTGACAGCCCCCACAAATGCCACTTACAGATTTTCTCAGCCAAATGACAAGAAAATACTTGGACTTAATCCTGTAACGTCACCACCGTCAATTCACCAATGTGTTTTCTGCAAAAGGGATCAGAGCCTGGACCACGCCACGGAGGGGCCCCCTTGAGAGCTCCCCGGGAGGGCTGCTCTGGGAGAGGCCTGGCCACGAGGAGGTGGCCCTGGCAGATGCAGGGGCCCTGTAAGGGAACCACCGCATGCCACTGTGAACAAAGCCCAAAGCCCGCTGCTTACGCTCTTCTGGTTGATGGCCTCGGCCGCCTTCACTATCCCGTCCAAGCACTTGCCGATGATGGGGATCACCTGCCGGTCCACCTCGGCATACGTCTTCATGGACTCCCCGATCCTCACGATCCGCCTTTCCTCCATCTCTTGGATTTTCTGCAACGTCACAGTGTGTTTAAAAAACCTCGGTCCCTGAAGTTCAGGGAAGTTGTTTGGGGCAACACTGTTACCTAAAATAAATCCTCTAGGGGGAAAGGCCTGGAGGTCACGTGTCCTGTGCCTCTATACTAGCCGGCTGTATACACACCTGATAAGCTGTTAGGCGGCCAAGTGTGTACTTCACACAATTCCATTCCATTTCAGCAAGAGCCCGTCGTGGTAGTTTATTATTAACATCATTTGGTAACACACTTCAAACACCTTCTCCATTTTTTTTTTTTTTTTTTTAAGTACTGGGGATTGAACCCAGGGGCACTTATCACTGAGCCACATCCCCAGACCTTTTTTATCTAGAGGCAGGGTGTCACTGAGTTGCTTTGGGCCTCACTGAGTTGCGGAGGCTGGCTTTCAACTCGTGATCCTTCTGTCTCAGCCTCCGAGGCGCTAGGATTACAGGTGGGTGCCATGTGCCCGACACGTCTTCTGCATCTTTGATCCCCTATTTTACTCTAGACCAAAACAAGCTCAGCCCGTGGCTGTCTCAGTGTAACACAGGCTGGAGTAGAACTAGTGTCCCTTCCTTCTGCCACCCGGGGTTCTCGTGTGCTGTGGGTGTAGATGCCAACAAGCCATGTGATGTTTTCCTACATCTAGATTTGAAGTCATGAAAGATTCCCCAAATGGAGGAGCATGTACATATCTTTTCTGATGTGTGTGTGTGTGTGTGTGTGTGTGTGTGTGTGTGTGAGAGAGAGAGAGAGAGAGAGAGAGAGAGAGAGAGACGAGGGATGGACCCAGGGCTAAGTGCCTGCTCTGCGAACACTTTCCCACTAAGCCACACCCCGCCTTCTCTCGTCATTTTTGACAACCTAAAGTAGCCACAAGAAAACAACCAAAAGGAAAGAATTGTTACTGATTCAGATCCTACAAGTGTGTGGATGTACGCTGTTTTCATAAGTTGGCATTTTTTGTAGGTAGAATGGTTCTTGTAGCAAAGAACTAAAATGGTCCTTTTAGTTAAGACTGGCACACAAGCACACGCACTCGCGCGTGCACACACACACACACACACACATATACACCAACTGCAGGCACAAAGGGGGTTGGCCAAGGCAACTCATTAGTCTTGAGAGTAATATGACATCTGCTTGCCAGGGGCAGTGGTGCATGCCTATAACCCAAGTGGCTTTGGGGACGTGGAGGGCGAAGGCAGGAGGATCACAAGTTTGAGGCCAGCCTCAGCAACTTAGCAAGGCCTTGAGCAGGCTAGTGAGACCCTATCTCAAAATAAAATTCAAAAAGGGCTGGGAACACGGCTCGGTGGTTAAGCGCCCCTCAGTTCAATTCTGGGCACCCAAATAAATAATTAAAAATAAATCACATCTCGTTCTTTTTGCTAGCCAATGCTTGACCTGTGATTCTAAAAATGACTCACTGGACATGGAATTACAGAGACACTTGGGCCACAGGCGCAGTGGCCCTGATCCCAAGGCGACACGTTTGCACCCAGAGCACGTGTGACGCAGGGGGTCCCGAGGCCCCACCTGGAAGATGCTGGGGATGTGGGTGTGGTAGTACTCGTGCTGCTCCTGGTTGAACTTCTGAAGGCTCGACGAGTAGTCTGCCTTGCTGTCCTCTGCCATCTGGTGACGTATCTGAGCTTGCTGCCGAGCCTGAGGGCCAAAATGAGGACACACACACGTTTATTCATGAAAAAGAAGGAAAAAGACCTTGACCTGCACATGGCAGCCGAAGTCACCCCAAGGGGCTGGATTTCTCAAGTGCTGTTTTTTTTAATCTTGAACATGAATCTACTTTAGGTAAAGAGCGTGCACCCCAGTGTCACAGACCCCAGTCCGTGGCTCACTGTGGCTGGCAGGGGCCGGTTTAACCAGTGCTCCCCCACTATGGTCTGCTTTGGGGCCGGTTCTCGTTTTCAGGCCCCCCGGGATGATTCCTGTGGGAACCTCGGCTCACGTGTGTATATAGACATCAAATGTGCATTTGTTTCAAATTTTGGAGGAGGGGAGCAGGAACCCATACATTAAAGTCCAATTCCCACAGGTTTCATGAACTAAGAAAGCGTGGGAACCTCCGAGACTGTGGACCCGAAAATGCTTCACCCGTTTTCAGTGCCTACGTTCAAGAAGCAATGATAACGCACCTCGTTCTGCTTTCTACGGCTTTTCTTGGGTGGGGGTGTGTGAGTTTGTGTTTTATCATTTTACTTTTCTCCAAAAAAAATTAATAAGACACTTGATAAGTGTGAGCCGGGTGCAGTGCCTCATGCCCCTGGTCCCGGTGACGCGGGGCTGAGCCCAGGAGTTGGAGGTGCCTGGGCAGCACAGGGAGACCCGGGCTCAAAAAACGAACGCACGATGCTAAAAAGAACCCACAAAACCCAACATATACATTGTCACTCTCTTTCAATCCATATTTTGGTTGATCGCATACTTGAAAAGGAAGGGTAGCCGTTTACAAGTGGCAGAATCGATTCTTGTGTGTGTGGTGGGAATGGGACCCGGGACCTCAGGGGCGCCCAGCACTTGCCACCACGGAGCGACATTCCCAGGTCCAGGATGGATTTTAAAGCTCAAACCAAACGGTGTGCCCACCCTCAGGCCTCCCCACACAGGAGCCGTGGTACTGCCAATCCCCCTGCGATGCACGCAGCCTTTAGAGGTGATCTGCTAACACCATCCCGTGACACCGACCCAATCTGGGGTCCCCTGGCGGAAGCCCACCCCCTGCCTGGGGGAGCCCGCTGGGCAGGGGCCTGGCAAGCTCTCTCTGGGCCAAACGCAGCAGGAGAGGCTCTGCTGCAGCATGGCTGCTGTCTGCCTGATTTTATTTTGTTTCACTGAACAAATATGACAGACGATTCAGACCAAGAGTGACAGAAAGCACACACAAAGGAGGTTCAGACGTGAACGCACAGAGGAAGCCTCAAGCCGTCGGCCCCACTTTCTGTATGACGCAGGCACCCTCCCCCGGGGGACCTGGAGCCCACTTCCACCCTGCAGTCCCCCCACCCCCTCTGCAGACCGCAGAGAGCCAAGGTGGCGATTCACAGTTACTTCCTTTATCTTCTTCCCTCTTCAGACATCACGCTTCTTGAATGCAGGTGACAGTGACAATGTTTCCCATCAGTTTCCTTATTATCTGGGGCATTTGGTTGGTGAGGCCAGAGGGCCTCTCACTTTCATCGACTTCTCATTTAGCCTTGGCTTGTTCCTACTCTTTGTTGGTGGCCTGTGACCCCCTTCCTGGCCATATGCTGTGGCTTCCGTTCCTACTCGTCCACCAGTAATGGAAGAATCGAGGCCCCAAATGCTCATCTCCACCTACCTCCAAACCCCACCCCGGTGCTCAGCGGCTCCTCCTTGAAACAACAGCTTCCCCTGTGTGAAGGCCATCTGGCCCTTTACAAAAAGCACTTTTAACTCCTTCAATGACCTTTGGTTTCATCATTTATCATTTCGCTCCGAATATTAAAAAAAAAAAACCCCAAAAAACCAAGGGAATTCCCACCCAGACCTCAGACTTCTAAAACCCTCTCTGGTTCCACACCTTCCTCAGAAAGCCCCAGGAAACTCCACAGGGAGTCTCCCCCCCTCTTCGGTAAGGAACAGGGCGACTAAGGAGAGAAGTGAGTCCCGCTTATTTTGGAGAAGTGATTCTCCTTTGTGGAATTTTACAACAGCCCAAGTTCTGGAAGGGAGTCAGGATATCATTGTATACAATACGTATGAGTGTGCACACGCACACACGCACACGCGCGCACACTCACGCACACGCGCGCACTGGAGCAGACTGCAGCTCCCTGGTGATACACCCACTGTGGCTGCGTGGCATATTTTCCTGAGAGCCGACTAGAGGTCCCTGGCACCGTGTGGGTGGGAATGACTGTGCCCTGCTCCTGCCGGCCCCCACTAGCGGTCGGCCTCCCTGGGTAATTGCTTTGTAAGCTCATTAGCTCTCAGGAGTTTCTCCGTGCCCTTTGCCCAGCCTGCACCCAGCCACCCTGGAACAGAACTGGGGACCACGAGGTGGGAACTGCAGAGCCTCTGGGTAAGGAATCGCAGGTCACACTCCAGCCTGGAGGGTCAGCAGAGAAGAAAACATGCCTTGGGCACAGCGGCGGCCCACTTTTATGTGACAAACTCTCTCTGGGACTCTTTCTCCACTGCATTACAAAAGCCTGTTTCGACAGACTTGCCTGCTCACTCTCCCTCCACGCCCGGGGGCTGCTTCAGCAGAGCCCGGTCCTGGCAGAATTCCGCAAAGCCACTGAGGAGGAGTGGCCGTCTTGCTCCGCCCCGCGTCCAGCTCTGAACCTCGGGCCTAGGGATGTGCTTGCTATTCAGTGTTCTCCCCGAGCTAAAGAAAGTCTATTTTCGTTTAGTAAGCTTTTCTGTTTATTCTACAGTGGAATTTCAAAGTCTCCAAAACTCGTGTTGAGTCACTCAGTCATTATCACAAACATATTTAAAAAATTATCTTTGAGGGCTGGGGCTGTAGCTCAGGGGCAGAGTTTGCCTCCCATGTGGAAGGCACAGAGTTCGGTCCTCGGTACCACATAAAAGTAAAATAAAGATATTGTGTCCACCTACAACTAAAAAATATCTTTCAAAGTACTTTCAAAAATGCATCTGGATTGGGCTGGGGTTGTGGCTCAGGGTTAGAGTGCTCGCCTAGCAGGTCTGAGGCCCTGGATTTGATTCTCAGCACTACATAAAAATAAATAAAGGTATGTGTCCATCTACAATCAAAAAATAAATATTTAAATTTTTTTTTTTAAATGCATCTGGAGTAACCGTGGGGTCACTTATTTTACAGACTGCATCTCCTGGAGTCTGAGGCTAAATGGAGATTACAAGACTCTCTGTGGCTCACCTCTTTGTAAATTGGTCTAAAAATAGCAACTATTATCTCAAAGAGATACAGTATTTCCATTCTAAACCACAGCATAGGTTATTTCTTTAAGCAAAATTTCCCATTCTAAAAATAAGAAGGGCCCCTCTTTGAAGACAGCCGGGTACTCGGGGTTGGTGAGTTGGTTCTGCAGTTTTTTTTTTTTTTTAATCTTGGAATTTAGAGATAACATTCTAAAAAGCCCAGAAGGCCTGCAGTTGCCCGTGAGTGTAAGTCACAGACATCTCCGAGTGAGATTTTGACCCCTTCTGTGGTCCATCAGGAAGACGGAATTTAAACTTTACACTCTCTTTGACAACCCCCAGGAATCCCCCAGACACGCCCAGACAGACCTAAGTGTGCACTAGCGGTGAGACGCGCTTCTTGGTGATTCTTCACACAGGTGGCATTAAAACTGCCTGCCTGAAGGGCCACAGGAGTGGCTGCTGAAGAGAAACCCCACTGCAGCCCAAGACGCCCCGTCCCAATGAGTTGGTCATAATCCACTTAGTTAGCTAATTTGAGATTTTTAGCGTGGCTAAAATGTGTAGTTATTTCCTGTTTAATTCAATATGACTCTTTCTTTAGTAGTTCAAAATATTAAGGAGAAAAATAACTTCTGGCTCAGTCTCAGGGATCATGACTAGAGAATCGGGGTGCACAAAGAAACCTGCTCACTTTCACGTGGGGAACACTGATTACAAAGTGTGCCCCTGGACCCACGGCTTTTGATCTTATAACAAAACGAGCACATAGGGACTGGCTCCATTTACACATTGACTGAACGTGTAAATAGTGAGACTGAACACTGAGCGAGGTGGCGGACCCCTGAGATCCACCAACTTGGGAGGCTGAGGTGGGAGCACCGCTGCACCCAGGAGTTTGAGACCAGCCTGGGCAACAGGCTGTGCCCCCAAACCCTCATGAATACACTGGATTCTCCAGGATTTGTCAATGATTAGGAGTCACACTGATTTTTTCCCCCCCTCAAAGACAGAGAATTTTAATATTTATTTTTTAGTTTTCGGCGGACACAACATCTTTGTTGGTATGTGGTGCCGAGGATCGAACCCGGGCCGCACGCATGCCAGGCGAGCGCGCTACCGCTTGAGCCACATCCCCAGCCGGGAGTCACACTGATTTTACCCTAGTCTTTGACCCAGCAGTTCTACTTCTGGGAATTTATCTTACTGAAAAGACTTTAAGTGGGCACCAAAGCTACCCACCATCACGAGGTTTATGACAACTAATGATTTTAAATAATAATCAGAAACCAACGTCAGCAATTTGATTGGTTAAATAATACGATGGGCTCATGTGTAGCCTATTTAAAAATATAAAAGAGGGCTGGGGCATAGAGCGCTTGTCTAGCACCCGGGAGGCACTGGGTTCGATCCTCAACACCACGAAAAAATAAATAAATAACAATCATTCCTGAAAAGAGTGATTAAGGAAGATTTTACTTTGCCAAAAAGATGGGTAAAAGATACAAATTCTAAAGCTAAAGGCCAGAAACAGTCAAAGGACAAGGAAGCCTGGCCTGCCTTTGTGCTTCAGCTAAAAAAAAGAAAGAAAAGAAAGAAAAGAGAAGCTTTGAAAAGCTCATATAGTAGGAGGGATGCTAATAAAGAGAGGAAAGAAAAAGCTCTTTGTTCAGAGCAATGTTGTTGTGTGATAAATGGCATTGTTTAAATTTCCAGCAAACTGTTACATCTAGAATACATTTTCAAGTTCAAAACTAAGAATGCATTTAAAAATT